GCAACTACCCTAATTGAATTATTTGGTGATGTTTCACATTCAAGTCAAGTTTAACCCCTATTTTTCATGTTTCATATTCAATTCATTTTGCAAATTCAAATATTCCACATTTAAGTTATTTGCAAGCTCAAAGAGTTTAAACTCTTAAGCCATTTGCAAGTCCAAGTCACCCAAAGAATTGGCCACCTCCCGGCATCAGGGAGAATTTCAGTCTATCAATTATCTTAAAAAACTCGTTAGTCAGTATCATGAGAGGATGTGGTTGAGCAAAATGTGAATTTCAACCTATAGTCTTAAAAGAAGTTATGGATCTTCAATGTACCTGCAAAAGACAATCACAAGCGCAAATCTTCCTAAATGTTACTTATTTTACTGAACAGGTATTCACATTTCTCAGGACGGGAACTTGAATCCCCTCATTTTTATAAAAAATTTCTAAATGTGCACACAACTATCCCGAAAAGTACTTAATTCTCTGGACGGGTACTCGAGCTTCATCGAAATAATATTTTAAAAGAAGTAATTCACCCTAGCACTATTTTCTTATACCTTTGCGAGTGAGATCAGCGACGACGACAATGATCAAAGAGGCGAAAAAATGAAAAGGCAAATAAAATTTTGTTTTCTAGCTTTCTATTATATATATATATATATATAAACAAAGTAGGTTGTTTCGCTTAGGTTGGATAGAAAGGGGCTTGCAGTATAAATCAAGAATTCAATTCTTTGGTTAGGGCTATACAAAGCAAAGCAGGCAAGCAAGGCTAAAATGTACGATCGCAGGGAAGAAAAAAATAACAAGATAGCTTGGGCCTGATGCGGCTGAAATGAGTGAGGAACAGGGAAACGGAAGGGGCTTCAGGCTTGGGCTAAGGTAGAGCGACAGAAGAACGGTGGAATTTCGAAAGTCTTTGTAATGTCGTGATCTCGTGGTTGGCCTCTAGACCTGGGCGTTGGGCAAGCCTGGTTTGGGTTCGTCGGGCTTATTCAGACTTTAACTAGTCAAAACGGGCTCAGACAGGACTTGAGCCCGAATTTCATTTATAATTTCATAGCGAGGTCCACCACTAAATGAATCGAGCTAGCCAGCGAGCAGCCATGGGTTTTAAAGAAAAGCGATTTTTATTCCCAAAAATAAATAAATAATAAAATTTTTAACATTTTCTCTAGTATCAGGCTGTTGATTTAAAATATTAAAAAAATATATAATATGAATGTGTGATAGATGAAAGAATGTGCGAGAAAAGTTTTAAACTGATTTTATATAATACAAAATTTTCTTATATGTTTAAGTGAATTTAATAGCAAATATATACACACGAAATACGTAAGATTTTAAGTTGAGAACATTTTGATATGTAAATACAGAAGAAATGAGTAAATTATCGCAAAAGAAAAATTTACACACATGCTACTCTTCAATTTCTATTTAATTATATATCTAACACCTGAATTTCAATTTTTACATATTTGACATCTTATAAATGGCTAGATAAAGAAGAGAATGGATGAGAATATAAATCGCCTAAAAAATTTGCAATCACGAAATATATTTATGAGATCGGGCCAATGACCAGATCGGGCTTGGTGCGGTTCAGGCTAAATCGGGTTTTAACCGAGACTGCAAATTTTAATATTTTCATAGCCAAACCCGATCATTCTAAGTGGGCTTATGGCGAGCGCATCAGCGCGAAATTTTAATATTTTCATAGCCAAGCCCGATCATTCTAAGATGGGCTTATGGCGAGCCCATCAAGCCCACTGCCCAATGCCTAGGTCTATTGGCTTCTCAACTATATTTGTGATTATATCACTTGAATAGGGAAGTAGGTTGTTGTCGTGCGTGGAATGTGACGAAGAAGGTAGAGAAAAGTTATAATAGGAAATAATTTATTCCTGTAAGAAATTATGATGAATAAATTATTTTCTTAGAATTAAAGAGATATTTCCTTCTCTATTTTAAATTTATTTCCTTGGATTATGAATTTTTTTTTTTTCTATTTTATGTTATTTCCTATATCTCCTAATAATTAATATGAATTGATTATTGGAGATATCAGGTAATATATCTTTCTTTTCATAACATTTCTTTTTTATTATTTTTCTTATTATAGGATTATTGTACGAGTTATTTATACCCTCGTTCATATCAATGAAACAATTAAGTATTTCACTTTATTTCGCATTATTCTGAATTTCATTATGGTGTCAGAGCAAACACAATTCTGAGTCTTACCATCTCCTCTTCCACGCCAAAACCTCCATCTATCTTCTTTCTAGGCAGAAATACATGACAGACAAAACTCAAAATTCAGCCAAGTCTGAATTTAGCAAATTCGATAATTCGAACGACCCTTTATCTTCACTACTCAGATCAACCTAGTCTCGTGCTCGCTACGCAGCCGCTGAATGGAGAAAACTACAATACCTGGAGGCGTGCTATGTTGATGGCTCTCAACATCAAAAACAAAGAAGGTTTCGTCAACGGCACCGTCGAAGAACCACCAGAGACATCCACCGCAGAATTTCAATAATGGAGGCGCTGCAACAACCTTATCAAGACATGGTTGTTTAATTCAATTGCAGAAGACATTGAAACAAGTATAATATACAATGAGAGTGTCTATGAAATCTGGCTCAACTTGAAAGAACATTTTTCTCGTACCAACAACATTTATATTTTCGACATGAAGCCATCCATGATTGCAAGCAAGGCGATATTGCACCATGCTCAAAGACCCATGAGATGAACGTGACACCCTCTATAACATTCTTAAATGCACGTGTGGTGCCATAAAGGAAGTGATGCAGATTCACTAAAATCAGAAACCATGAAATTCCTAATGGGGCTTAATGAAACATACACTGGTATAAGAGGGCATATTTTGCTCATGGATCCCCTTCCCAATGTCAACAAGACACATTCTCTCACGCTCCAAGAGGAAAAACAACGCGGGATGAATAGTGTAAGTGCACCGCAGCGGGAAGCTTCAGTTTTGCTGTGAAGAATAATGCACGGAAACCAGAGAAGGTTTTCATGCCTAAAAATCCTCAATTAAAGTGAGGAAAATATGACAAAATTGGGCATGCCTCAGACATATGTCGAGCACATCTCAAATACGATTATTGTGGATGGCAGGGACACACCATCAATGACCGCATGAAGCTGCAAAGGACCAATCCAACAGGTAATAAACCTGAACGGAAAAATTTTGCTCCCAAAGTCAACCGTGCGGATACCAATACATCGACGAGTCCTGCACCATTCACCCTTACAGTCAAACAATATCAAAGTCTCATAACACTACTTGCAGAGAACGAATCTAATTTGATGGCTAATCATGTTGGCAGGACATCAACCATGAGTGATATCTCAGGTAAGATCTTTTGTCTCTATTTTTAACAAAGAAATGAGTTGAATTCTTAACATGAGAGCCACGGATCACATGGTATATTCAGCCAACCTACTTACGACAAAATCCAGTGTCACCATTTGAAAAGTTCACTTGCCTAACGGGGCTACTGCAACTGTCACGCACATAGACAACATTTATTTTATTGACTTCGTTCTACAAAATATTTTATGTGTCTCTTCCTTCAAATTAAATTTGATTTCTATTAACAAATTTATGCTTGATTCACAATGTCTTGCTATTTTTAGTAATCACACTTGTGTGCTACAGGACCAACAATCGGGAAAAGATGATTGGGACGAGAACTAAAAGAGGACTCTACTACCTTGATACTCCACAAAAGAACAAATGCAATGTTGTTACTTCACCATCCCCAAATCTCTGGCATAAACGTTTACGCCACTCATCGAATAAAGTTTCCAACTTATTTCTTTTTGCAATTATAGGCAAGAGAATTTGTAATGTTTTTGATAGTTTAATTGCCCATTGGCTAAGCAAACTCATTCATCTTTTCAAACAAGTTTCATTGGCTCAAAAACACCTTTTGAATTAATTCACGTTGGCATTAGGGGAGAATACCAAGTTCTCTCAATCACAAGAGCGGGATATTTTCTCACAATTGTTGATAATTACACTCGATGCACATGGATTTATTTGATGAACCATAAATCAGATACACATTCATACATCATCAAGTTCATAAACCTCGTTGAAACACAATTCAACCTAAAGGTCAAAATCATTCGAAGTGATAATGGTCTTGAATTCATATTGAGGAATCTTCATCTCGACAAAGGCATTATTCATCAATCTAGTTGTGTCTCCACTCTGCAAAAAAAATGGTGTAGCCGAAAAAAAACATCGTCACTTACTCAACATAGCCCGAGCCTTATTGTTTCCTGCTAATTTACCCAAAAATTTTTGAGGAGATGCAATCCTAACTACCACCTACTTAATTAACCGAACACCAACACCCCTTCTCCAAGGAAAGACTCATTTTGAAATGTTCTTCCAAACATAACCCACATATAATCATTTTCGTGTGTTTGGGTGTCTTTGTTTTGCTTCAACACATCATTAGCGACCAACCAAGTTTGATCCCAGAGTCATTCGATGTTTTTTCTTAGGATATTCATATGCGCAAAACGGCTATAAAGTCTATGACCTTTCAACTGGGAAAGTTTTTATTTTTGTATCACGAGATGTTCATTTCCATGAAAACACTTTCCCTTCCCCTTCTTTCGCTACAAATAAAGGTTTAATTCCGCACTTCACCACCCACACCGACATGCCTTCATTCGATGAATTACTTCAAGAAGATATTCCATCTTCTCAAGACAATAAAATCCCCATTCAATAGACTCCTTCACCTTCACTCACTCCAAATTTATTCTCAGAACAACCTGCAATTCCAAACCAACAAATATCATCACCAAAACCAATGAGAACAACAAAACCGCCTAGCTATTTGCGTGAGTATCATGTTGGTATTTCTCTTCCCTCGCGACACCCCCCAACATCGAACTCCGTGTTAGTCAAAGCTACAGGTACCTTCTATTCATTAACTGATGTCTTGTTATATTCTAGATTGTCACCTAAGCATCATGTTTTTACCACCACTCTTTCAATTGAAAAGAAGCCAAGCACCTTCGTAGAAGCTGCTCATAATCCAATGTGGCAAGATGCTATGCGAGAAGAACATGACGCACTCAACGAAAACGGAACATGGTCTCTTGTACCATTACCACATGGAAAAAGGCTAATTGGATGCAAATGGGCATACAAAATCAAACTTCGTGCAGATGAGACAGTTGAACGCTACAAGATCAGATTAATGACAAAAGAGTATAATCAAATTGAAGGTTTAGATTACCAGGAAATTTTGCCCCCGTAGCAAAGCTTGAAACTGTTCACCTACTCCTTGTGTTAGCATCAACCAAGTAATGACATCTCCACCAACTAGATGTTAATAATGCTTTCATGCATGGGGACCTCGATGAAGACGTATATATGTCGCTATCTCCTGACCTCGGACGAAAGGAGGAGCTCGAGTTTGTAAACTCCACAAATCATTATATGGTGTCAAACAAGCTTCACGACAATGGTTCATCAAGCTTTCCACCGCTTTAAAGCAAGCCAATTTTATGCAATCAAAGGCAGATTATTTCTTGTTCGTCCTATCTAAGAATGGTAAATTCATCGCCTTTCCTATATATGTAGATGATGTTATCATTACAGGGAACGACTTACAAGAAATCAAATATGTAAAAGTATTCTTGAGGAACCAATTCAAATTAAAGGACCTTGGACAATAGAAATATTTTCTTGGTATTGAGGTTGCACGATCCCAGAAGGGTATTGTGTTTCCACAGTAAAAGTATGCTCTTGAAATACTCGAGAATGTTGGGTACCTTGGTAGAAAACCGACCACTATCCCTATGGAACAAAGCTTATCTCTTAGCAAATCAAAATAATAATATGTCAGTGATCCATCATCATACCGAAAACTAGTTGGGAGATTAATCTACTTGACTATCACACGTCCTGACTTCGCATATACAATTCATATTTTAAGTCAATTTATGGACAAGCCACGAGTGTCACACTTAGAAGCAGCCCATCGTATTCTACGTTATGTAAAGCAGATAGCAAGACAAGAAATTTAACTCTCAGTAGAAAACTCAACCCAACTAAATGATTTTTGTGATGCAGAATGGACCAGGTGTCATGACACTCAAAGATCAGTTACTGTGTATTTTATCTTCCTTGGAAGTTCATTAATTTCTTGGAAAACCAAGAAACAAACCACAGTATCACATTCTAGTGCAAAAGTTGAATATCGGTCCATGGTCGCTACCTGCTGCGAGATTATTTGGCTAAGAATAATTCTACAGGCTTTGGGGATCATGCATCCACATCCTGTTAATTTATCTTGTGATAACCAAGCAGCACTTTACATCGCCTCGAACCCGGTATACCATGAGCGAACAAAACACATCGAGATTGATTTTCATCTCATGCGACAGACGTTCAAAAAGGAAAAATAAAGTTGACTCATGTGTCTACTTTAGAACAGCCAGTGGACGTTCATACCCGCCAGTGGACGTTTTCACAAAACCACTAAACTTTTCTCAATTCTCGATACTACTCAACAAGTTAGGAATTATTAACATACATTCTAAACTTAAAAGTGTGTTAGGAATTATAATAGGAAATAATATATTCCTGTAAGAAGTTATGATGAACAAATTATTTTCTTAGAATTAAATTATATACTTAGATTAAGGAGATTTTTTTTCTTATGTTATATTTATTTCCTTGGATTATGAATTATTTATTTTTTTATTTTATGTTATTTCATATACCTCCTAATAATTAATATGAATTGATTATTGGAGATATTATGTGATATATCTTTCCTTTTATATCATTTACTTTTTATTATTTTTCCTATTATAGAATTCTTGTAAGGGTTATTTATCTCATGTTCATATCAATGAAACAATGAAGTATTCCTCTTTATTCCGTATAATTTTGAATTTCAACAGTTTTTGTATGTGTGATCATGTCGTTGCTTTTTCCGGTAGTTCTAGTCACTACTCTATTTGAGAATACAAGCGTGAGGAAAAAAATTAAGGTGAGAGCGGCGCAGAAAAAGTGAATATGGGAGTTTAAAAGGCCTTTGTTGGCAGCAATCCCATCGTTGTCTTCCAGCTGGCATTAGTCGCAGCTGTAGCGTGAGTGGGACATGGGATGAAGGCAAGGTCTTTGAACACTGCAATCCAATCGTTTGCTTTCCTTGCTAACCCTAATCATGACTGTACCGCAAAGCTCACGATTATGAAGAGGAAGTTGAGGCTCGAGCAGGCTTCTTAATAGGGAAGTGACGATTTTTGCATGACTAAAGAAGAGCTGTAGGACTGGAGACAGAATGATGAGACATTTTAGATTTTGTGTGATTCCTTGCGACAGAAACGACCCAGTGGGGTGTGAACTTTGTGAGTGTTTGTAACGAAGGAGAGGGAACAAATAAGGACAATTTTGGGCAGGAGCAAAGAATTAATTTATTTCAATTGAATTTTTTAAAGTTAATTTTAGCGGTCAACAAATACCCCCCCCAAAACAAATACGATACGCATCTGAAGGAGATAATTTTGTTGCAAATTGATTGACCAGACGGATCTCCAAAAGTTTGCTTGGATATCAAGTTGAGGGTTTCATTTTCAGAATCTTCGAGAAAGTAACAAATGTCGCACAAAATATGAATTTTAAGTAGGATATGTAGACTTATATCATTATATACCAACTTTGGATGACGTCACCTCTAACTTGTTGTCGTTCATTTGTCAGAGAGATCAAGTTTGCCTTTTGTCCTTTGCTTTTACTTTGAAGTACTGAAAGTTTTATTTCAATACTTTCAAAATTTCAGAGCTTGTTATGGTCTCATCTGTCTTAATTATATTCTTTGACAGACTTGATGAAGGAATTAACCAGAGTTATCACCATGGACTTGTCAAATGAGTGAGCATATCTTTGGCCCTAGCTTTTTGCTTTGGTGAGCTTGTTGAAAGATGCATGTCAGTGACCTAACATTCGAACTTATATTGAGTTAGTAGCAGCAAATCGTCAATCATATACTTAGTGTTTTATTGGACTTGTTGACAATTAAATCTCTTAATTTAGCATCGTGCTTTGAATGAACTATGTGATAACTTCTTCGATCCTTTGCTTTTTACTTTATCAGACTTATTGAAGAAGAGAATTCCCTCAGTCCGTGTCTTATGCTTGATCATACTTTTTGGGTTTTCTTAATTTAAATAGAACACTGAGCTCAGTTTGATTCTTTCTCAAGCGATGATCGTTCCGTTATTTTCTTCGATTTTTTGATCAATCAAGAAGTCCTTTTTTATCTAGTTCACTTGAACTTATCAAGTGGAATAGACTTGAAACTTAACTGTCTTTGTCATCACTAGCAAAACATAGACTTATTCACTGCGACTGCTTTTATGGCTTGTTGAGTGAAGAGAGCTGGCAGCAACTCAACCATATTTGTACTTGTTAAGTTCAACCTTCAAGATATGCTCGAGTCCTAGATTTAAATGCAAAGAACTTGTGTCTTTTCAACTTAATAGACTTGAGCTTATAGACTTGAAAGTCTCCCTTTATATATCACAAAATCTTAGAAATTGTACATTTATGAATGTTTTAGCTTGACAGTATAGTTACTTTCTAAGTGTAGATTATATTTATGATTTAGTCTTAATCAATCAATTCGTTGAAAAAGTTTCATGAACCTTGATCACTTAAACTCGCCAAATTAGATGGGTTTGAGAATTAGACAACTAATGTCATCAAACAAATAAAATAAGGGCACTCATACGGCGGTTATATTTATGACTTGTTGAGTCAGAAGAGCTTGTTCCTTCTCTATAGTCATTTTTATTGCTTATTAAGTGAAGAGAATTATCAATAATTCCGTATATTTTAGACTTGTTGAGTCTGACATTTTTTACTCAATTGAGTCATAGACTTGAGCTGTGGTAGAACTTGCATCTTTTCAACTTAACTCATTAAGGCTTGCAAATCTCTTTTAATTGAACTTTTAAAATCATGTTTAGTCAAAAAAAAAAAAAGTTGTCTTCTAAATTTTATCATGCATATATTTTGTTTAATAGCATAATTCTTAAGCAAATATTTAGGGATTTAAGCATTGAAGCACGATGTCAACCCAAAATTTAAAAAAAAAAGTCTCAAAAAGATTGACTAGCCAATATCTCGATGTTAGGCATGATGTTAACCCTTGTTGTTGGGGATCTCAACCATAAATTTATTATCAACTCAAAAAAATTGGCAAAGTGTTTGATAAAATATATTTGGAGATCTTGGTATTGATTATGATTTCACCACCCAAATAAACTAAAAAAAATTCTCATGTCATATGGGGGATTTTATTATGAGTTAGAAATGCATTCTTGTATTACAAAAGAGTTTACAGAAATATCTTCTAACAATTCCTCAAGCTTATGCTCTTTAAATGATTGAAAATCTATTTGTTGGGTTTGCAAAATAATTGGTAATGGAGAGTGAAAAACAACTAAAATTGACTCATGTTGACTTGCATTCAATGATCTTTCTTCTGGTGGGCATTGGTAATATCCTTCATTTGATTATTCTCGACTGATTGGGAAGTGAGAAATGACCATAGTTATGTCCTGCTGATATAAATTGATAATGCCTCCACCTACAGGGCCTAAGAAAGGATCAACTATTTGGTTTTGCCTCACTCATTGAGTCAGTTATAAGAATATCAAAATTTTGATCACTTAACTTACAAATTGGATAAACTTCAGCAAGAC